TTACAAAGGAGCAAAATACTTCGCAGGCTTTTAACAGTGCATTGTGTGAATCGTCTTCAGGTCTTTGATTGCATCGAAGAGTACGCGCCAGGCTTCAAGGCGAGCGTCGTCGGCAAGGAGGTGTTGCCGCCGCCGGAGCTGGAGAGGGTCTTCGGCCTGACTGGAGGGGTACGTGGTCACTGCGCGTAGGGCTGTGCGATATCACGATATTTCCTCGATACTGCAATATTGAAACATCGAGGCTGCTCGATACTACTTCGTCGTACCGCGATATATCGGTTATTTTCAGACACATCGTTCTTCGACGTGGTATTGCGATATCACTCGATATTATCGAGACTCGATGCATCGATACTTGGTCAACATCGTATTGCGATATCACAATTTGGATATCGCACAGCCCTAAATACGCGGGGCATGGATAGACGCAGGGTCAGGTGCGGCCGTTCCTATCGAACTCCGCGCACTCCCAGCACCAGCGTCCGTCCGGCCTGCGGATTAAGCACGCCCTCACTCTCTTCTCCCCCCACAGAACATCTTCCACGGCGGCATGTCGCTGTCGCAGCTGTTCCTGTGCCGGCCCGTGACCCCCGCCGCGGACTCGCCCGCCGCCCTGTCTCCCTTCACCCCCGTGCCGGGGCTGCTGCTGTGCGGCGCGGGCGCCCACCCGGGCGGGGGCGTGCTGGGCGCGCCGGGGCAGCTCGCCGCGCAGGCCGCGCGGGCCCTGGCCCGGGGCAGCAGCGGACAGCAGGCCAGGCGCGCCCGGTGAGCGGAGCGGGCGCAGCGGGCGACTTCATCGGGGGAGTGATACCGACCGGCCGGGCCGGACGTCACCACTTTATACCAACCAGGATAGATAACTGTCTGTCGCCGACTGCACCCTGGGTTTGTTGTTATCTGCAACGCCCAAAATCTTTAGCAAAAGTCAGTACGGAAGCGAGCGGCCCACGTGACTGTTACTCACATTTTAAACATTATTTTGGCACGCGTGCGTGTGTATGTGTGTAGAGGCTGTAGATCGTTGACTGTGCTGGGGTGTAAGGCCCTACTTGCCGCACTGTATCTTACAGACTGCAGTTGCTTGCACCCCTGGCGGCCTAGTGTGCGACGGCCTCGGCTATCACGCGGGGTGCAGGTGGGCCGCGAGCGCCGCGAGCTGCACGAACTCAGCGAGGCGGCATAATACCCACCCGGGCTGATAGCCGCCCAGGCTACTCGTCGTTCGGCAGGGGGGTGGTACTGTACTGACCAACGACGGGGGAAAAAACTGAGCCTTGTTTACTCGTTTTACTTACGTGTTTGTACCATTTACATAATAGTGACTAAATAAATGTAGTAGTAATAATATCAAATAAAATTAACTTAAATAGACAATAAACATAAAATGTACAAGAGATTATACAATTTGGTAGCTGACACAATAATGAGATCATATAAATAGCAAAAAGAAACACATAAATTCATCTTTGGCACCATTTCGGGGAGGAAAAATGTCACGCGAAACAAAGTCACACGTACAGTAGTGACACACACAATGATTGGGCTATCTCGGCTGGGCGCGTCCGCACTGCTCGTTTTGGTTTACAGTTGGGTCGCTTGCTGCACTGGGTGCTGCACAGGGTGCGCGCCGAAGCAGCGGCGGGCTCGACGGGACGGGCGGGCCGGAGAGAGAGAGAGAGAAACGATATAAAGAGAGAGAAAGAGTCCAGCGGGCCGCCCTTCCCGGACGCAACTGTTAGCATTAGTGATAAGGCCACTCGGCCAATCGATTCGGGCGCGCCGCGCCGAGGCGTGGTCACTCTAATTCCAAGCAATAAGCACTTCATCGTGTGATTACTCTTTTATATAAAATCAATTAACATTAAATACCACTAGAATGCCGCGGCGTGCAAGAGAAACTGAATCGGCCTTCGGCTGGTCAGTTTGTCGCCTCTTGCCCGGCGCCGTGTCTGTTGGACTAGATGGACGCTCTGCTCCGCTACGCCCGAGGCTACGCCCCCGTCATCATGAGCAGCTGCGGGGCGCCGCCGCCGGGGCTGCCGGGGCCGCCGACGCCGCTGCCGCCGTGCACGCGCATGTGGCGGTTGAGGTTGCCCGACTGCGAGAAGCGCAGCAGGCACAGCTTGCACTGGTACGGCTTCTCGCCCGAGTGGATGCGGAGGTGCTTGGTGAGCGTGGACGAGTCGGAGAAGGCCTTCTTGCAGAGGCGGCAGCGGTACGGCCGCTCCCCGGAGTGCGTCCGCATGTGCGTCGTGACGGACGAGCTCTGCGAGAAGCGCCTGTCGCAGATGGGGCAGCGGAACGGCTTCTCGCCCGAGTGCGTCCTCACGTGCGCCGTCAGGTTGGCGGCCTGGCTGAAGGACTTGTTGCAGTCGTCGCAGCGGTACGGTTTCTCGCCCGAGTGCGTGCGCAGGTGGGTCTTGAGCGTGGAGGGGCGCGCGTACGTCTTGCCGCAGATGCGGCACAGGTTGGGCCGGCCCGAGTCGTCGGGCGTGGAGGGCGACATGAGCTTGGTGCAGCTGTGCAGCAGCCCGCCGGCCGCGCCGCTGCTGCCCTCGCTCGAGGTGGGGCTGGGCGCGGGCAGCGGCCGCGCCGGCACCGGCTTGAGGCTGCCCAGCACCGGCTTGAAGGACGTGAGCGAGGCCTCGGACGCCGGCGGCGGCGGAGGGGGCGCCCCGGGCGGCGGCCTGAAGTCGGCCGTGAAGCTGTAGGTGGCGGCCGGCACGGGCGGGTAGGGCGGCGGGCTGAGCAGGCCGCTGCCGCCGCCGTAGCCCGGGGACGCGGGCGCGGCCGGGGCGGGCCCCGCCGTCCACTGCACCTGCGGGTACGAGTAGGGCTGAAACAAGAGGGAACGCGTTAGAAACTGTTTCAGGGAAAACGGTCTGAATGAGAATCACCTTGTCTAAATGTGAATCACTTTGGGGTTTTATTGCATCGCCCTGCAAGGGACGGGCCATTTCGCTTCAAGAACCATCCAGAAAGTATATTTGTCGTTTCCCGTTACAAATCTGTGAAATTAGGCCTGTGCAAGCTCTCGTAGCGCCTGATTGGTAGGCAACATCTGCCATGCAGTGCATGCGTGTTGCGCGCGGTGGCCTATCCTGAGTTTCACAGGCGCCGACCTTCCGTAATTTACCGAATGAATCTGAGGGAAGCGGACGTATTTTCTGGACGAACACTTTCTGAGGGGGAAATCACTTGCGAAATAGTTTGTCCACCTTTCCCCGAAATAGTCTGAAATAAAGGCAAAATCGGCGAAATAGGCGCGAAGTAGTTAGTGAAATGGTCGCGAAATACCCTCGAACGAAATACTGCGAAATACCGCGAAGTACCCCGAAATCATCCGAAATAACTGCGAAATAACCGAAATGGCAGGAGAAATACCACGAAATAGCCCGTAGGCTACGACTTCAAGTAATTTCCGCCTCGCGCGGAGGAAGTAGACGGACAAAGCTCACAACATTGGGGCGTTTGCTCTGACATAATCGGTACACGGTAGACACCGGGCGGCCAGCGCCAGCAGTGCGTGGGCCTCGGCGTGGCCATACACTGAAGAGCAGAATCATCGCAGGAAAGCCTGCAGTACTTTACAGTAGCCTCTCGATTTAATGCCGCCTGATTTTTAGATTTGGCGTGAGAAAGTGGTGGTATCGTAGATAGGCGGAGTTAAAACGAGGGTGTATAAGTTGAACCGGGG